TCATTTTTATATTGTGTAATAACTAGCTTACTCTGAGGACAGCTTGGTCACACAATAAAATATATTGTTACTAACTCTTGCTTTCTGTGTACTTTGCAAAATTTTTAAAATTTGATTCAAATCTTGAAAGTGTTACTAACTGGCTTCTTAAAGCAAACATTGTAACTATTAAGTATTAACTAAAAAGCATTTCTACACTTACAGTAAGTGAAAGGGACATATTGGTGGTATGTGTCCACAAAAACCCCAAGTGCCAAGTTAATGTATCTTCTGTCCTCTCTTCCAAATGCTACAAAGAATTCATTAGAATGAATTCTTGTGGTTTAATATCTAAACTAATCTCCACTGCACTGTTGAAAGAGCAGCATCAAGGAGTTTCTCCACTTAACTCTCCTTGTCAATCTGAGGCTTGTGAATCTAAAGTCTGCAGTCTGTTCTGCTGTTGCTTTTAGCACTTACAGCTCAGATTAGTTTTAGAGCAGTCACTTCCAAATGTGTAACTTGGCCCTTGTATGTATATATTGTCAGAAACAGGATGCTGTCATTTTGACACTTTTGTGGCTATTTTTTTCCTACTTATTCTTCATATAAAAGCAATACCACAAAATAGACAATGAAAGCTTCCATTAAACAAAAAGGAGGACCTCTCATGCTAGGACCAGTTTATTAACTGTATATTATGGGCCAAGTAGTGACCAACACATTTTTTTTTCTGACAACTAAAGATGTTTTGAAAGAGCAATTTAGTTCAGTTTTTTTTTCAGAACTATAATGTATAATTTTAAAATTCCTATGAATTAAAGTTGGAATACTGTTGTATTCCAAAGGTATCAATTCTTGAAAGCTAGTTAATTCTAAACGCACTAACATTTTTGAAGCAAATCTACATTAGAAACTTTTTGGTATTGTATTTTTTAAAATATAGTTAAATTCTATATTGGAAAGATGTTGGTATCTTCCATTAAGTATTAAATGTTTCTCCCATTTTATTTTTAATCAAATATTTTATGGAAATGAGTTGAGAAAAGCTTAACATGGACTATTTATAATACTTCACTGTTAACAGGCAATGTTTTGAAACTAAATTTATTTTTGTTCAGTGAATATAATGAGATTTTAAAGCTGGTAGATAATTTATCTCCACTAATATTTTTTTAAGAAACTGTAAAGGGATTAACAGGGAATAATTTTATTTCAGATTTTTATTAATATATTATGTAGCTACAACTTCTTGAAACTCAAGTAAAGGATATACTTTTACTTTGAAAATATTTCACTAGCTATTTTCCAGTGCCATTTCATTTTAGAAATAGGTGTTTGCCATTCATCTGCAGAACTATTTGACAAAGGGAATATTTACTAAAAAAAAAAGTCCAGAGATAAACTTCATTTTCTACAAAAATGGATGCATTATTATTTTTTTTAATTCCCTACTAGGGACTTTTCATTAAGTAGTCTTAGAGGATATATGATTTCTAGAACTTAGTTTTGTTAATATGTACTTTAATGTAAAGAATGTATTTTGTATGTAAAACATAAAACTTGAGTACGGTTGCAAAACACACTACATTGTTGAGGGATTCCAGAAATCGGTTTAATGCTGGAATAACTATTTAGTATGTAATTCATATTGTGAATGAAGCCTTGCTTTTGTGATATATGAACAAAAAAATCACACTTTCAAAAAAAGAAACAAAATGTAACAGTAGAACTTTAACATTCTTATGAAGTTGTGACAGTACATTCTGTGAAAGATAACAGAATAATACAGGGTCTGGATGCCATATTTTTCTTTAGGGATGGCTAAAGGAAAGGAGGGATGGTTAATTAGAAGAAAATTAGAATAAAATAATGGTCCTCCAAATATATAGATAGGAAAAAGATTAACTTTATAGTGGAGATGTCTGGCAGATATTACCTTAATCAAATGATCATAAAGAACATCAGTAGTAATGGAACAAATCAAAATTGTGTGCTGTCCCATAGGATTCAATGAGAAGAATACAGCACCACTTCTGCGATATTCCTGCTAAAGATATACAATCTGAATCTAATCATAAACAAACAGCATTTACAAACTTGGCTTGTGATTTTCAAAACTGTCATGATGATGAAAGTCAAAAGACTAAATGAGTTTTATAATAAAGAAGACAGTACAACTATACACCATATAACTTTGAACTAGATCCTTTTGCTATATAGGACATTATTGGGACAACTGGTGAAACTTGAATGAGGTCTGAGTACCAGATGGTAGTGATGTAACAATGCTAATTTCATGATTTTGATGGTCGTATTGTAGTTACATAGGAGAAAGCTCCTGTTTGTAGCAAATATACACTAAAGTATTCAGGGGACCATCAGGTCAACAACTCATGTCACAGGGTTCAGAAAAAAAAAGTACTTTATGCTGTTCCTGCAACATTTGTTTGAAATTAAGTTTGAAATTACTGCTTTACTATTTTAAAAATCTGAAACAAAGTGTTCAATGTGTCTTAAGCCATGACATCATTTTAAAAAGTGAAAAAAAATGTGAGTAGCTGTTGCCTGGAAGAAGGCTTCTGTTTATCTAGAGGGATGAACTAATGAACTAATGTCACTGGGTAGAAATTACTGGGAAGCAAATTTCATATCAATATAATCTAACACAATAAGAGTAGTCCAAAAACCAATCTGTGATATTTCTGTCAAAGAAAAAAAAATTTAACCAGACGCTGGAAGTTCACTTAAGAGAGATATTGCTAGAAAGCACCTTTCTTTGGATGGAAAGAAAAATAGACTAGATGATGTATAAATATCCCTTTGAACTTTAAAGGACTAGTATGCCACGGTTCTACTTCTTTTAAATCCTTTGAATCTTGAATAACCACTATACTAGACTAACAATTAGACACTCCTCTGGCACTGCTCCCTTCTTCAGAACTTTGCTACATAGTCTTAAATAACACTAAAGCACTGGCTTCTTTCTGTAATCAAGATTATTAACTGGCCAGGGGCTTTAGGAAATCTCAAAGGTTTTAACAATTAAAATACTTTTGTCTAAAAAAATGAAGCAAAAAGTTTAATATTTCTTATGTGTTTAAAAGTGTGTACGTGGTCGTCTACTTTCACTCCTACCCCTGCCCCTGGGCTTTGAACTCTTTCAGGGCCCAGAAGCTGTATTATTTCCCTCTGAATTCCTCAAGAAGTTTTGCAGTGCCTGGGCCTCAACTAGTGCCTCATCAGCACCCATCAAAGAACTTAAAATCTAACGAGGTTTCAGAGCAAACAATCAAAAACATATACAAGCCAACGACGGGCGGAATCATAGAAAGCAAACACAGCATAAAGTTACTTTCGTTGGGTTAGTTCTTAGGTTGTGGGCTTTTTGAAGGCAGGACTCATGTTTCATCCATTCCTGTATTGGCAGCACCCAATCACAGTGCCTGACACATAGTGTATGTTCAAGAACCGTTTGAAGAATCAACCAGTCTCACCTTTAAATACACCTTTTATGAGTGGTGCTACTGCTGTATTGAAGACTTCCTCCTGTTCAGTAGAGGGGTCAAACACAAAATCGTAGGTAAAGGATTTGTCAGTACCAACCACCACCTAGAGAAGGCAAGCGACAAGGAGTAAGTAAAAAAAAGAAAGGCTAGACCATGCCCCTCACTGCTATTTGGCACCAGCCGTTCAGAGGGAGGCCCAGCACTCCACTACGCACCTGAGGTTCCCCGGGTACGAAGGAAAGGCACATTTGGCAGCCCTCATCAATCTCTTTGGGGACCAAAGGGCGACATCGCAGTGCCACTCTTACAGGAATGCCCTTCACCTCTTCCTTCATGATCCTACTTCCGCACCGTCTCTGCTGAGGGTAAAAAAAAGAAAAAGATGCTCTTTGATAAACCTTGGTAGGTCGGCAGGAGTGGGAGAGCGTCCTCCTTCAGTTCTGGCCCTCCTTGGAGGGTGTGGTGGGTTAGGGAAGTCAGCGGTAGCCTACGGCGGCAGCCTTTCCCTCCCAGCGGGATCGCTGCCTCGGGAAAGTCACTGTCTCTCGGACTTGGCCACGACAGGACTGCCCATAACCCTGACCCTCTGAAAACAGCGAAGTGGCCTCTGAAATGGAAAGCAAAAGCCCAGCGGAGACGACGACAAAGAACCAAAGCACCAGGGTACCGGGAAGGGCAGATCCTGAGCTAAGGTGCCCCCTTAACTCACCAAACTAAACGTCCCTTACCAGGTCTCCCGCCGCCCTGTCCCAACCAGAGCTTTAACCGCCAAGTTTCAAATCACTCCCGGAGGCGCCAGCCAATCGGAGCGTAGACAGCCTGAAGGCGGAGCACGCACGCGGCGCGCGCAGGAAGACGCATGGGAGGGGGACTTGCGCGTCGAGCCCCGACCCCGCCTCTTTCCGACTCAGCCTAACATCCGCTTCCGGTTCCCAGGCTGACTTGGCGGTGAGCTGAGACTCCGCGCCTGAGGCCTGCGGGTTGGAGAGGTAGTAACACAACTTTTACAGTGCTGTGGGCACAGGACTCAGGCACAATGCGGGAAAAAGATCTGGAAGGCGGCTGGTGGTGAAGGAAAGGCCAATCTGCAGACCTCCACCATTACTGATCACATTAGGGAATGTGGGGCGGTGCCTTGTCCCGAATTTCTATGGATAGTTGGAATCAGTATTCCGTTGAATTTCGAAAGTAGTCAGATATTTTTAGATTCGATCCTGATTTCCTCCTCTCTAGAATGAGGACGGTAACATACGTTTCACAAGATTGTTGTGAGAAAGCAGATTGTTTCTATAGTGTATCTGACAGGTTGTTAGCATCCAAATATTCAGCCAAGTTGATAGTTTTCTTCCTTCTCTCCCAAAATTTATCACCTACCTAGAAGTGGGCTGGGCGTATAGGCTGACAGCCTTGGAATGGGTTGGGGTTGTTTTCTGAAACTTGCTGGGCTGTTTTCCCTTTTAAACCATTTTCATCAGCTTTGATTCATGCTTCCATTCCAGGTCCTTGCTGGAGATGGACAGCCGAATTCCTTACGATGACTACCCGGTGGTTTTCCTGCCTGCCTATGAGAATCCCCCAGCATGGATTCCTCCTCATGAGGTGGGAACCATCTGTACAAGGAATTTTTTTTCCCATAGGCACAGGATGATATATGAAAGGTAGGATGGCAGTTAGAAATCTCAAGGGAGAGTGAATCTTAGCTAGAAGTTTGATTCTGAGCAACTGGGCCCATTGGGAGCTTCTTGTGGAATCTTCCTACCAGAATCCATTACACCAGAGAATTCTGGAAATACAGAGCCCTAATTTTCATTCTGTTGAGGTAAAGAAGTGAGGGGCTCCTGGGCCGCTAGCATTTCCCCATTGCTATCTATCTACCTGTTTGGACAGTGTTATCTGTTTTACTTAAACTAAGTCCATGATTTCACCTTCTCCTGGCTTCAGGGTGATGTGTTTGTGTTCTGGATGAAAGTAGTAAGCCTGATAATAAGATTTCTGGGGTTGCTATGTCTTGCAGAGGGTATACCATCCAGACTACAACAATGAGTTGACCCAGTTTCTGCCCCGCATCGTTACACTGAAGAAGCCCCCCGGAGCTCAGGTGAGCTTATGGAACAATTGCCTCTTATTCCAGGCTAGGTTTGTCCATACCAGGCCCAGAAGCTGGCCATGGTTGGGGGAGATGAACTGGGAAGCAGATAAGAAGGTGAAGAAACTTCCTTTTATGAGCAGAAAAGCTGAGATGCCACTTCCACAACTTCTGACTGCTCTCTGAGGGGCATAAGGCAAGCTATTATACATTGATGCTACTAGATATTCCTGTGTTTGTGGTCTGTATTGAGCCCCCTTTTGTGCTCTTGTCTTACAGTTGGGGTTTAACATCCGAGGAGGAAAGGCCTCCCAGCTGGGCATCTTTATCTCCAAGGTGCGTCTGCCTGGTAGGCAATATGGATAGCTACTTCCCTTTGTTATCCGATTGCTGAACCCTGATGTCTCAAGGCTGGGGAGAAGGATGATTCAATAGGCTTATAGAATGGGCATAGTGAGACTGTCCTTGCCCACTTACAACTTCCTACCTTGCAAGCCACCTGTTTCCCCACATCATCTCTCTCTCACACACACACAACCAGTATAGTACCTTACATTTGAACAGCACTTAATTTCACTTACATTGTTTGAAATTATCCTACCTTGATCATATATATTCTCTCCTTACCAACAGGTGATTCCTGACTCTGATGCACATCGAGCAGGACTTCAGGAAGGGGACCAAGTCCTAGCTGTGAATGATGTGGATTTCCAAGATATTGAGCACAGCAAGGTGAGCACAGCACCTGGGCTGTGGTGAGGCTAGAAGCCATCCCAGATAGGATGCAGCAGATAAGATTAGCCTAATGTGTAACTTGATAAGAAAGAATTTCACCTTGATAAGAGGGAGGCAGCTATTGGTGACCCAGAAGGTTGGAGTGGCAAACTACTTTCCTCCTGTTATGATTCTGTTCTGGGTTGTATCTCTTCATTTGTACAAGCTGCCATGTTCCTTCCAGGCTGTTGAGATCCTGAAGACAGCTCGAGAAATCAGCATGAGGGTCCGTTTCTTCCCCTACAGTAAGTGCCTCTCTTTTTTGCTTACCTGGTAGGACCCTCAGTGGGAACTCTTTAAATGCTGATTACTAGAGGCCCACAAGTTGGTGATGGGGAGTTGGGAGCTCAGGCCAGAAAATAACCTGTGCTTTTCTTCCTTTTCTTTCTTGTTTTCCCCAAGATTATCATCGCCAGAAAGAGAGGACTGTGCACTAGAGAGGTGCAACCCACAGCCCTCTGCATGGGATCTCCTAGGACAAGCTAGCTAGGTCTCAGGGAAGCCACTTGGGAAACTACTCTCAGCCTCACCCTGGGAGAGTGGAGTCGGGAGGATGGGGAGACAGCGAGACCCTGCACTGAGCCAGCCAGCCAACTGCATTTTCCCAACTGTCCTGTGCTTTGAGTTCCCTAGGTTTCTATGTGGGCTTCATACCCTGGAAGGAGAAGGATGGTGATGTCTAGGTAACTCTTAGCCTGTGGAGAACCCTGCTAGAGAAGGCAGCTGACATTTATTGAATACCATGTGCTAGGCAATTCCACAAATGTCATGTCATTTTCATTAGCATATACAAATCAGTAGAAGAAAGGATCTTGGGGGCCTCCCCGCTAATCTGCCTGACCATCTCATCCCATCCTTATACTATATACCCATACACTTTGGAGACTGCAGTGGAACCCTGTTTTCCTCCCCTCCCTCATTCTATTTTCTCCCTGCAAAAAAGTAAAACACAATGCTGAGGACATGTTGGTGTGACTTTTGAATGATACTGGTTGGGTGGTAAATGCTTTTGAGATAAAAATAAAAGCTCTTCCAAAGAGAGGAACCACTAGAAGCAACAGAGCAACACTATACGTGCTTCACAATTATCTCTTTCTGGCCAGAATGTTAGGGAGACCCAGGAAGCTTATCTGCAGTATGACTGAGGAATGGGTATAGGGTGAGGGGTACTGGAGGAAACAGTGTCCCTTCCCCCATGAACTATGGCCACTTCTGTGCAGGGGCCAGTATTAATATAGTCTGTCTTCTCTTTTCCCAGATTCTTTCATCTGGAACATAAACTAAGGGAGAGGCTTAGATGCATTTCTTTTCAGGGATAGCAGTAAGCAATCGGTTCCCAATTTCCACCTGGTCGGTTGAGTAGTACTGACTGCTTGCTGATTTCCCCCTTGTCTTCACCCCAACCCCCAAATAGCCTTCTGCCATGTTCTTAGCAATCCATTGTTAGATATTCCAGGCCACGTGTAATGCCATTGACATGTTCACAATACCCATTAAGAATAGAAAGTTATCTAATGAGGTATGGCATGAAGTTGTACCCCATAATGAAAGTCCCAAATTTTCCTTGAAGAATCCTGGGAAACTTCAATATATATTTTGAGGCCCTTCCCCCTGAAGAGTGATGCTGTTGGTTTGAGATGTAGCCTAAATGTCTGATTTTTTAAAAATATATTTATTTTTTATTTTTTGTACTTAAAGATCTTTTTATTCAAAGTCACAGTACAATTGTGTACATCAACTATGCCTCCGTTTTTTTTTTTTTTTTTTTTTTGGAGACAGAAATTTATTATAAGGAATTGGCTCACACAGTTATGGAAGCTACTGTTTGCCATCTGCAAGTTGGATACCCAGGGAAAAACAGTTGTATATTTCCAGTCTGACCTAAAGTTCTAAGAACCAGGAGAATAAAGGTACAAGCCCAAGTCTAAGTCTAAAGGCCTGAGAACTAGAGAGCCAGTGTTGTAAATTCCAGTCTGAATAGAAAGACCTTGAAAACCGAGAGCTCCGTTGGAGTTAGTTGAAGCCTGAAGGCAGGCTCACATCCTGGTGAGCAGATTTGGAGGTACAGTCAATCTAGCTGTTTCTGTGTTTCCTGGAAAGTGAAAGTGTTAGTAGTGTCTGACTCTTTGTGACCCCATGGATTGTAGCCCACCAGGCTCTTCTGTCCATGGAATTAATTCTCCAGGCAAGAATCCTGGAGTGGGTTGCTGTTCCCTTCTCCAGGGAAATCTTCCTAACCCAGAAATGGAACCTGGGTCTCCACTGCAGGTGGAGTCTTCACCATCTGAGCCACCAGTGAAATCCTCCCCCAGCCCCACGTAGAATATATGTTCCTATTTGCTCTGCTGCCCCCCAATGGCCATCTGAGTAAGAAACTAGGGGCTGAGATGCACAAAGGCATATTGGCTGAGTCTATTGAATGTTGAGGTTCAAGACTCTCCCTGTGGGTAAAAGGTTTTAAAACAACTCATCTAAGAAGTGTAGTGAATAGGGTAAAAAGTCCCAGCCAGGTGCCATGGGCCTAAGAGGCAAAAATCCTCTTGCCCTAAATTGGTTCTTACTTTGAAGTACTTAGAATGGTTCTGTGTTGGGATACCACCGTGGTGCAACTGCATTGTGGAGGTGTAGGTATGGTGTGGAGAAGGCGCAAGCGATAAGAGACTGAGGTGAAAGGACCTGTCATATATCGAAGGTGTAGATAAGAAAACAATGGAGAAGGAACTGTGTTGGTCTTTGAGATATTCTAGCTGCTGTAGAATTGCATCCCCTGCAGATGTTGTTTATCAGTAAGACATCCCACATGGTCAGGTGGGATTGATTCCTGGACTCTGCAAGAACTTTCCACCTTGTAACTGTGAGAAATGGTCAAGGAAAAAAGATAGCATTTTCAGGGGTTCTGTTTTACTCCTAAGCCTAGGAATTGAATAAGAGCTTCGTAAGTGGCCAAGTATTTAAACTGTAAACGTGAAGTGGGGGAGGACTGGAACTGGGAAGCCCAAATCCAGCAAATTGATCAAATTAGGCAGAGAGATAACCTAAGCTGTCACCTGGAACAATGGTTTTTGATGCCTGACTTATTGGAGGGTCCCAGTTGGGTTTAACCACCAAAGTGTGTGTTAAAGAAGGAAGGAAGTAGAGTGAAGTGGCTGGAGTCAAATCTCAACTCTCAGGGGCATCTTCTGGGAGACATAGAAAAGAACTTTTTATCTTCTCATCCCTTTCACCTAAAAGCAAAACAGGCAGCTGCTTTGGGCTGAAGTTAGTCCCATTTCCCCTTCAGTATGTCAGGCAGAAAAATTGGCCTGGCCATCAACTCAGCAAAGAAAGTTTGCCTACTCTGCTTGTACCCTCCATACCTCAGCAAGACTGGGAGAAAGGATCCTTTCCTCTTCCTTCAGCAGAGAGGAATTAACCTCTGGAAAGAAGGGCAGAAGCCATGGCTTGGAATAGCTCTGTGTATGTGTATGTGTGTTTCTGTGTGAAAGAAAAAACAAAGGTCAGGTTCAGGGACATGAACCTTTTGCACTGCATAGTAGGGAGATGAACCTTACCCCCACCCCACAATAGGATAAGCCAAGGTTATCTGAAAGAGTAAGCCATGGTGAATAACTTGGGACAAATGCAATGGAGAGATTATAAAGAAACATGAGTTATATTTTTTGCATTGCAACTGGTTTTGGCACTGAACTCAATAATTCTGCCTCCTCTGAGGGACTTCTCTGGATAAATGAGAAATGAAGGAAGTGATCAGATAGTGGTAAGACCCCCTTCTGACCCAGAGTTACTGGATAGGGATAGTCCTTTCTGAGGCATAATGATGCTTCCCTAGGACCAAGAAGCCTCAAAGCTCTAATCCCCGACACAGGTAAATCTCTCAAGTAAATAGAGTAAAGTATTAAAAAGCAGAGACATTACTTTGCCAGCAAAGGTCCGTCTAGTCAAAACTATGGTTTTTCCGGTAGTCATGTATAGATGTGAGAGTTGGACTATAAAGAAAGCTGAGCGCTGAAGAATTGATACTTTTGAACTTTGGTGTTGGAGAAGACTCTTGAGAGTCCCTTGGACTGCAAGGAGATCCAGCTAGTCAATCCTAAAGGAAATCAGTCCTGAATACTCATTGGAAGGACTGATGCTAAAGCTGAAACTCCAATACTTTGGCCACCTGATGTGAAGAACTGACTCATTGGAAAAGACCCTGACGCTGGGAAAGATTGAAGGCAGGAGGAGAAGGGGTCGACACAGGATGAGATGGTTGGATGGCATCACTGACTCAATGGACATGATTTTGAGCAAGCTCTGGGAGCTGGTGATGGACAGGGAAGCCTGACACACTGCAGTCCATGGGGTTGCAAAGAGTCGGACATGACTGAGCAACTGAACAGAACTGAACTGAGACCCTCCCCATTGGGACTGAGCTAGATATGCCAGAAGCAGTTGTAGTTATGCCTTTCCTTTTGTTCAGATCAATCTTGTTACCCACCAACATGATAATGATATAATCACCTCTCTATGCTCATACATCTTCTACCCACTTATCTGTTTCCTCAAAAAAATTGATGTCTACAGGATAATGTGTTGCAGAGAGTTGAAACATTTAGTTGAGATTCAAAGAGAATAACGTACCTGTCTTCCTCTCTGCTCATCTTTTTTTTTTTCCTTATGCACTCATGCTTGTATTGTTTTTATCCTCTGTGCTAGTTTTACCAACCCCTCTATTGCTTCCTGCAATCCCCTTTTCAGGTGAAATGCGGCATAATATCCACTTGTGATGTCGAAGACAACCACAGCAATAATTGAATCACGAATGTTGCTAGAAATTAGGCTGCGAAAGTGCTTCTAGCCAGCTGTGTTCCATAACTGCAGCTAACTAGCTTTCTAAAGGCTAGAATTTAATCAAGGGAAAATCAAGAGAGTCAAGGAAATTGGGTTCCTGAAAAGTAGCGGCTATGGCTACAACCAAGTAAGTGTCTACCATCCTAAGAGAGGTTCTATCTCAGTCGACTGTTTTCATTAAGGAAGACCCTACAGAGCAACAGATTTAAGTATTCGAGACTATTTGTACTTTGTTACATACAGGTAGAGATTAGATGAGAAGAGACAGAAAAAGAAACAGCACAAGGTTTGGTGATTTGGGGAGGTTTCACTTTTTTTTCTTATTTATTTAGTTATTTTTGTAGAAGTTTCACTGTTTAGTTCTCCTTTATCCACAGGTAATGTGGGCTTACATTACAGTAAGCACAGCACAGTAAGGTGCTACCCTACTGTGATGAATAGGCCTAAGTGGTTGAGGTACCGGGTTAGTGACGTGGGAGTGAACACTCACTATTCGGTCCTCCAAGGACATGACCTTAGACAGGAAGTCAATGCCAAAGGTTGCCTGCAAAGGAGGGGCAGATACTTACTCTGTACCCCTCCTCTACTCCCAGTACCAGGCAGTCTTAGACCCAGAAGTAGAGAATGGCCCTTGAAAAGTGTCCTGGTTCAACTTTTCAACGCTTACAATAGATAACTTTGAGGAAAAGAATCCCCAGGTAAGTTGGTCAAAGAAGGGGGCAAAAAGGTACTGTGTGATGCCTTGTACTGGGCTCACCCAGCAGGTGCCTTCCAAGCTCTTGTACATAAAGTGGGTGAGAATAAGTAGGCCAGATGACACCCTGGGTGAAAAGGATATTGATTCCCCTGAGAGCCTCCTACTCCATTCCATACCATCACATCTTCTTATCCCCAAAGCCCAACCTAGGCCCCCACCACTCTGCCAGCCAAGGATTGCAGGGCTTGGATTTGCACAGAGACTGGGTGCTCGGGTGTGATGGAGCCAAGGCTGGTGGGCCTTGAGGTGTCCTTTGTGCTTGGCAGATGGGTGGCACTTGCTGCCTGGGGTCACTTGGCACTCCATCCAACCATCAACGTCACCTTCAGGCCTGGGCTTGGGGCCATGCCCTCTCAGGCCCTGCCCACAGCCCTGAGGTGGGGCAGCTGGGCCGTGTGTGATCCTGGGAGTGGGATAGTTGGGGGTGGGATGAGGGCAGGGATGGTCAGGAAAGCTGAAGCACTCACAGAGGGTAGGTGGCCTTGCCAGAGGGAAGTCGGATCGTTTGGAGGAAAAGCATGTGCTGCAGGAAATCTAATCCCTGGTGTGGATTGGGGGTGGGAGGCTTGGAGGGGGGAGTTGGTTCATTCTAGATAGTTCCATTACCCTCCTCCATGAGGAGGAAGTACCAAAGAGATAAGAAGGCACATCTGGACAAGCTGATTTATTGAGTGTTGCAGTGGGACTCCCACACATAGGTACTGGAGCCAGGTGCTCAGCTGCCTTCATCCCCCTCAGCTGCCAAAGCCTCCTGGCTGTCCTCTCCATTGGGCTCCTGCTGAGCAAACTCCTCGATGACTATGTCCTCAGAGCTTGCAGAAGGGAACAGAGGGTTAGGAACAACTCTCTGAGCATCATCCACTCCAATTTCCTGACCCCAGAGAAATGATCCCTTCCTTGCCACTCAGCTCAGACCCTCACCCCCTCTCACCTGCCCTCGCCCCACATGGACCACACTGGGCTTCTTTCCTTCATTCCTTCCCCAATCTCCCAACACAAAAGTCCCCCCCACTCTCAGAGGGGAAATAAGAATGGGGGGTGGGAAGGAGAGAAGGCATGGAAAAATGAAAAACAGGAGAAATAAGGGCTAGGAGGCAGGGAAAAAAGAAAAGACTGGAAGGGATGAGGGTGAAGGACGACTGGGAGAAGAGCAGGAGGTGGAGGGTGGGGGATGCAAAAAGGGAAAGTGGGGCTTATGAAAAGCACTGCACTGAACCACGACCCGAAGTTAAACCATATGTTTCCACTGCACACCTATTGAAAGCAACACTCCAGGGAAGCTTTTTAACATTTCCATTGTCGTAAAACGGAGAGTGGCATGGGGAAAGGGGTAGAGGGCGAGGTTTCCAGGCCTCACATTTTCTTACCTAGCAGCCTCTGTAGTGAGCATAGAGAGGGAAGGAAATATGGATTAAAGCTTATAAGTTCCCTGAAGAAATGTCTTGTTACTCTTCCCTCTCCCTTTTTGACCATCTCCCTCCCATATATACACAACACACACACACACATGTGTGCGTGCACACACGCATACACACAATTGCCCTGAAAACCTATTCACCCACCCTACCTACTGCTATAGAATCTCTACTCAAACTGCCAGTCCTAGATTCAGGAGATCAGAATTGGCTTGGTCCCCAACCCTCGGGACCACTGTTCCTGTGAGTCCCACCTAGTCACTCACCGTCTGAAGGCTTTGGATGCATCAGGATCAGAGGGAGCTCCACACCAACATCACTGCAAGGATCCCAAGGTTGAGTTACAGATCTCCCTCCAAGACCACTCCCTGAACCTCTCTCCCTCAGTTATTTGGTCCTAGGATGCCCTTAGATTCTCCCTCATCACTCTTGATCTCCTGATTGCATCCTCCCTTTCTTGCCCTGGTTCCCCCCACCCCACAGTCTCTTACCTGGCTGTCAGGTCGCCTAGGATGCTGAGGGTAGAATGACACCCTAAAATTAGCAGCTGGAAATGGAAAGCAGCAACCTAATTTGACAGGGGAATTAGGGATTGTAAGGCCAACTCAACCACAGAATCGGTTTCTGGAAGGGAAGGTAGCCTGCTCATGGAGCTCACGGGTTTGGGAAACGGGTCCAGAGAAGGGGTGGGTTGAATGGGTCAGTCCAACTGGGAGGAAAACAAAAGTGGCTCCCCAGCCCCTGCCCAGACAGACCCTGCATTCTCACTCACCCTCCACAGGACACCATCAGGTTGACTCTGACTTTGTAGGACACCAGGATCCCCAGCAACTCCTTGTCCACTCCTGGTCGAAGACTGGGAGGTGGTAGTATTCATTGTTGTGTGTTTGAGGGGAAATGGCTGCGAGGGAGCTAATTCATTCAATCCCCCAGTCCCTTCCTGTGCATCTTTTGTCATGTGACAGGTCTCCCAGGCTCTGATCTCCTACTCATTGGGATCGCATTTCTATTCCTCAAATCCAGTTTTACCATGTCACCCTCTGCTCAGGAGGCTACCTCTCTGAATATAATTAGTACACTGCTTGACTTTCACAACCCTTCACAATTTGGCCCCACCTAGCCTCTCTAACCTTCCTGCCCTAACTCCCTAACACCTGGGATACGACCTATCTGGACCCATCCTCTCTCCTTGCTCAGAACAAGCCTTGCAGATTGTTACCTTCTATTGTTCCCCAGGCTATATTCCCAATTTGGAACTCTCTTTTCTTCCTCTATTGCTATCCAAATCCAACACATTCTTCAAGATCTAGCTCCTTCTGTCTCCTCCAGCTATGCTGGCTTCTTTGAACTCCTATTGGATTTATAATCTGAACTACACATACTAACATTTAACTGATAGATGGCATTTGCATTCCTCTTTGTTCCCCGTTTAAGCCATAAACTGAAGGCAGAGACTATCTTCAACTTCTTTGTACCCTCCCACATTGCATAGCATAGGAATGAGTATGTAACAAGCATTCAATGAAAACCGACTGATTGAAAAATAAGGCACAGGAGTTCCCTGGTGGTACAGTGGATAAGAATCTGCCTGCCAGTGCAGGGGACAGGTTCGGTCCCTGGTCCAGGAAGATTCCACATGCTGCAGGGCAACTAAGCCCTTGTGCCACAACCACTGAGGCCCACACACTCTAGAGCCCATGCTCCACAAACAAGAGATGCCACCACAATGAAGAGTAGCCCCTGCTCACCTCAACTACAGAAAGCCCACACACAGCAACGAAGACCCAGTTCAGCCAAAATTAATTAATTAATTTTAAGAAAAGGAAAATACAGAAAGCTATATGATCTTGGAGATTTTCCAAGATTTTTCATTGCCCTGGGATGCTGATCCTCTATCTGCAAAGTAATGCTATTGGGATGATTTCTCAGGCTCTTTGAAGCAATAACAATGTATTGCTACATGATTAATAAGGCACAGAGAGGCAGTGGGAATGAATGCTTGTCAGATGGTGGCAGATGGTTTTCGGTAGGAGACACATCTTACACAAGGGCCTCCAAGTGTTAGGCATAGGACCAAATGAATGACGATATAATTCTATCAGTTCCTATCATGTTCTTTTTTGTCCTCTTTTCTCTCCATTTCTCATCTGTCTTCCACTGAACTTCTATCTTCATTAGAGAGTAGCTGCTACAGAGATCGCAGTGTTAGAGCCAGATGACATGTGATAGCATCTTTTCCACCTCTGCCACTGTGCAAGCTTAGACAAGTTCCTTCATCTCTGAGCCTCAGGGCCATTAAGTGTAAAACAGTAAGAACACATATCCAGCCTAATTAATGGGATTCTTATGAGGATAACAGTACCATACATAAGACCTTTTTGAGCTGTAAAATATACAACATAAGGAATTTTTCCTATCCACTTTTTCCTTTCTTATTGCCAATGACCTAAGCCTGTCATTGGTCCTATGGGTATTATTTAGCTTACTGTTGGCCCTCTTGCCTAGAGGTGTCTGAATGTTTACAATTTTTTTGAAACAGGTAGGCTTCATTGAAGGTGAAACCTCAAAACTGTGTATATAGCACACAGAATGGGTTGGGGGGTAGAAAATGAAGGCTGGGAGTTACGTGTGAGCTTACATTGTGCTAGAGGCCAGATTGGTGTCACCCTGCTTGAGTTTGCCATCCAATGCCAGGCCCTGTTTCTGGCAGTTGGGTGCCAGGAGCGGGGTTACTGCAAAGCTCTTGGAGAAGGTGGAGTTAGCAGCTATAGTCTCCCTTTGAAAGGAAAAGAAGAGAAGAACTTAAGCTAGGCTTGCCAACTAAGTGATTCTCATTCCCAAGAGTATTTTGCACAATTCCATGAACCTACTGGACTATCCAAGACAGCTGACATGTCTGACTGTGGAGAGTGGGAATGATTCACTCTGGTGGGAAATCATCTTATGCCCCTACCCTCTCTCAGAATTGATGATCCTCTTGTGGGTATCCTCCCTCTAGCTCTCTTGAGAATCCCTCCCTTTTTCCACATCAGTTCTCACCTTGACCTTCCTCAGTCCTGCCCTCTTCCCCATTTCCTTCTTTCCCTAATCCTCTCCTCTGTCTCCAGACCCCCACCCTCTTTCCACCACCCTACCCCTCAGCTCTCTGACCCCAGCCCCAGCGCCAGCTCACGTGAACTCCTGAACGAACACAGTCTTGGTGTACTTGTCTAGTGAATACAGGACGACATCTGTGATCTGGTCAACTGAAGAGCCAGGAAAAGCACATGACTATAGTTAGTCATCCTCAAGACCCCAACTCACTGCCCTTGTACACGGGTACACTTCATGTGATGTACTAAGATGTGCATATATGGATGAACAGAGATGTATGTTTTGATAAGCCTGCAATGGAAGGAAAGCCTAGATGAATGCAGACTAGGTAAGTGGGGGCAGAGTTCTGGAAAAAGACCTATGAATTTGGGACCAGGGGCAGGGAGACAGGAAAAGAAGCTCACCTGAAATCTTGATTTTTTTGATGACCTTGTTGGTGGAGTTGTTGATGGAAACATTGACAGAGATGGGTTTGCCATGATAATTTACCTAAAGCAGGAGGAGAGGCCCGTTATAAGGTTGGAGGGAGAACACTCAGATAAAGACCTAGAATTTGTTTCCTTAGCACTCTTGCCGACCTTGCCTCCACCCTTGTCTTCCCAAGTAGGAGATCAATAAAGAAAGGGTTTCAGAGTGGTTGCATGCTAGGGGGCAAGAAATGGGGGTCACAAACCTCCTTGTCCATCCAGGCCTGGAGTTGTAGGGGCTGAGCTGACAGGAGGAAGCGGCGCACAGTCTGGGCACAGGGGCCAGGGCCTGGTTCCAGGGGGGCAAACTGTATTTTCCGAATCACCAGCCGCACAGAGTCTCTAAATAGAGGCCAAGGGGACAGCCAGAACATCTCCTTAGGACCCACAGACCTTTCTTGTGCCAAACCTATAGCCCAGTCCTCATTTGGCTGGTGGAGGTGGCAGAAGGTTTCCCTCAGAAAATGCCTCTGGACCCTCAAGGTAGGTATCTAGGCCATAGGTCAGCAAACTATGGCTCATTGGCTAAGTCTGGTCTGCTGCTTGTGTCTGTATGGCCCACAAGCTAAAAATGGTCATTACATTTTCAAGTGGTTGAAAAAAATCAAAGAACAATATTTTA